AGTGATTTTGCATAATAAGAGTATCATCTGCTTTCTGCAACAGCAAACACAGGCTCTGTGCAGCAGCCAGTGAGTCATATGCTGTGTACCGACCTAAAAGGGAGGAAATCTCAAAATATTTACAGTTGCATTTCACATCTCGGGTGGTGCACAGCTATTCTGGTTTCCCCTGGACTGATGACATCCAACCAGGAGTCAATACTTTGGAGGAATTTTAGGAATATGCTGCTCTAGACTCCACAGTGTTTAAACAGAATAAAAGAGAACAGACATGAACAGGAGGACAGGATCTTTCAGAATTAACATTTATAAAGAGTGAGGCTGAATTCAGAATAATTGTACTGAGGTAAATTTTCAGTGGCACTTTCGAATGAGCTCAGCAGAAGCAGTGGAGCTCAAAGGAAGACACATGTAAAAAAGGTTGTGCTGAATCTTAGAAATATTCACAAGTACTTATTGAATGAAGATTATTTTTTCCTCTTTTTTTGGAACATTTTATTTTTCAGATGACAAAATATGCTTTAACCTTCAGAATGATTGCTCTTATTTGGGTACACTGATAACACAAATGTAATTACGTTCTGCAGGTTTCCATCTCCTTTTTCCTGTCCTCTTGGCACTGTAGGAAACAGAAAAAAAGCCTAGGAAGAGAAGACAGCAAAATATTGTATTTGTCAGGTTTATAGTTGTCTGAGTAGGCCCTGTATATATAGAACTAGAAATTCCTCAAATTACAGAGCTTTGTAGAACACAGCTAATGGAATGTCTGACTACTTTCTTTTTAATTGCATTTAGATTTTCCTGCACTGTTACATTAGGCTGATAGAGCATCTAGTCTATTTCTGAATAGACTGTAAACAATTAAATTACCTGTAATACAATGAATTACCTGTAAACAATTAAAATGTGGCAGTACATGCTTAATTTTGTAATACCCACAGAGATAAAAATGCATTCAAAGGAAAAAGTCAAAGATATTTAATTAAGACTTGGGTATCAGGGCCATAAAATTTCAGGCTTGCTCTGCCAGGAACAACTGAAGTGCTAAATGTTTACCCAGTATGATACTTAGTTACATAAAATACTGGTTTCATAACTAGGTTTTATGATTTACTTTCTTAATTAGGAACAAAGTGTAGTCTTGGAACAGAGTACAAGGTAAACAGATTTTATGTGGAGGAGCTCTGCAGAGACTTGGGTAAATGAGAATAAATCCATCACTGCTCTGTGCTACAGCTTTGTTTGCAGGATGAGTTTTCCAGGGACATTATGGTTAGTGCCCCATGTCCTTCTGCAAGGCTGCAGTGACTGATTTGAGCCCTTTTAGGAACAAATTCAATGGCTCTTTCTGCTGGGGAGCACCACCCAGGTATTTTGAGCTTCTCTCTGCATTATCCTTTCTTACTTCCACTTAATATCCTTGCTGGATATTACACTTGACATCCTTTATTCAGGTGCCTTAATCAGTAGATATTTAAACACTCCCAAATGAGGCCTGGTGCACAGCTGAAAATTGTATTTTCCAAGAAAATAATTTTATTTCACTAGCTACCAGTTTATTTGAACAAGCCTGAGACACCCAAAGGGACTGGAGGGAGACCTTAGACCTTACGTAGGAATTTTATGAGAATTTTCTTTTCATTATTTTAAACCTACTTCAGAGGTAAATATAAATTCCCTGAAATCCCCTTCTCTTATTCATCCCCTGCCCATCCTGTCCTTTTACTTCCTACACTCATTATTTCAAGTAGCATGTTTTGAAACCAGCATACGCAGAGCAGAAATCACTGACAGCATGAGGAGGAAAAGCATCACTGCAGTGTGCACCAGGCAGCACAAAACCAGAGTGGCTAAAACACAGTCCACACTCCACTAATAGGATCTGTGGGAGACGACCCTTTTTTAGCAATTAATGAAGAGAGATCAGATTTTAATGCCTTAATCATCTCTCAGCGTGAGGGTAGCAGCATGACAAATTAAACTTGATCCAAAAAATTGCACTTTTAATCCCTCTCCTGCTAGGCTATACCACCTCAGGTGCTGAAGTAAAGGAAGAAAAACAAATTGTAAAGTTTTTCCCCTTAAGTGTTCTGCAGATTTTAATTCTTCACTTGCACATTGCCATCAACCTCTTCCTGCCCTGCATCAATTGCTCTCCATCCATCTCCACAGGCTGAGTAGTTCCCATATGATTACACTACTGGAGGAGATGGAATCAGACCAAGGATTCAACGGATCCTGGGTATTTTCTGTTTCTGGAGACAGATTTCTTTGTCTGTCCACTTTCTTTCCCAATACAATTCCCAGTGCAAAACTAAGTTTATCAAATTCATACCCTTGTACTGTTACCTTGCTGCATTAAAGATGCCATCTCTGTTTCATGGCAGCCAACATGCACTTCCCTGCCATAGGCTATTTTATAGCTACAGCACACGCCCTCTGCACAATGGCTGTGTGCCTCTGTGCCTCAGGGTTTGCTCTTTAGCTCAGGAGGGAGTCAGAATGGTGCAGATCCATCAGCATTGTGCCCTGCACACTGGGCAGTGAGGAGTAATTTTCAATAATCCAGAATTAATTATGATAAAAGGGTACGCACAATTGTATTTGGCTCTTTTAACAAAACAATGTAAACCTCATTTTTTCTCCTAGTCTCTTAAGTTTATTCTAAATACACAAATAATAAAACTTCCTTTAGCTATGGGAAAAAAAAAAATCCAGTTTCAAAAAGTAGTTCTCAGTTCCACTCGAGAATAAAATGAAATTATTTACTTACTAGAGCTAAAAAACATTTTAGCCATAAAAAAAAATCTTATTTGAAAGTATGTTTTTAAATTTAAAATCATAATGATATCAGAAGTTTAAATATGAAATCTGTAATAGTGACATTATCATTATTCTGCAGTAATTTTCTCAATGTTCCACCAAAAGTTGGAATTTGAAAGGTGATGTGAAATACTAGTGCAAGAAAAATGAACACGCTTCAATATAATGCTTTAAGACCCCACTTCATATTTATGGTCTAATTCCTCTCTAGTGGTGGTAGTAGTAACAGGAAAAGAAGGAGAAGCCTTTTGTTGCTCTCTTGCCATTGGTTTTTCAAGGGTTGGAAAACTGCTAGGAAAAATAAGTGTCAGAAGATAAAGTTCCTGCAAGTAGAGCTAGAACTGAAATCACAGTGATGTGAAAGCACACGTGGCAGCAAGGAGCAGCCTGCCAGAGCCCCTTAAACTTTTAAGCTAAACTGAAACAAAATATAAAGGCTCCCCCAAGGTTCTGCTCCAGTGTGTTCTTCATTTAGAGCTCTTGGTCTAGGAAGTTTTGCACAGTTACAGTGCGAGACACTGATGTGTTGGTCATGTTTTCATTTGAAGACTCAGGAATGTCTGGCAGTTTTTCCTGGGCCATGCCCTATGCTCACCTAGGGCACACACAACTCCTGGGAAGGAGGATGTGTGTTAGGCTTCTTTATTGCTTCAGACACCATTATATCCCATTGCCTCGGGGCTATTTGCTGGGGAATAGCTTGATTGAAATATAATCTATTTTGAAACTCTCTTTTTATAAAAATAATGTATTTTTAATCTACCAAAACATTACCACAGCAATGAAAAAGTAGCTCAGATCACTGCCCCAGTCACCCTGGGACCTCGGTGGCACAAGTACAGGCACCAGAGCTGCTGGCAGCACCCATGTGGGTAAGGGATCTCAGCAGACCTCAGTCAGAAAGTAAGATTGCTGGGAGTCAGTATTTGTCTGGGAAGCTGCTTAGAAGCACCTCAGTGGTCATCTGTTTCAAGAAGCACAATGGGTGATTTGACAGCTTGGACAGCAGTGTCTGACCTGAATCCCTTCAGAGCAAGAACATGGGACCTACCACCTGGGATGCAAAGCTAAGGTCTGTGGGATCCTGGTAAAGATCTTGAGCCAGCCTTAGGGACAAGAGCTTTTACTCCAGAGACTTTATGTTCCTACTTGCAGCTCCCATAATGCTGGACAGCTTAATTTTGGATTTCAGTGGATGAATCCTTTACAGCTGACAGCCATGCTGGGTAATGGCATGTAGTGTGGAACTGTATTGCTCTGTAAGTTCTCACAGGGGAAAGAGTCATTCCTGCTGCTCTACTGCAAAATTATTCCAGAAAGGAAACCTTTACCTGGGATAAAATCGCCCCCTTAGGATATGATCCCACAGTGCCTAGTATTCATGAGGCTGGTTCCAGCCCTGCAGGGCCCTTGTGAAGCAGCTCTTGCAATACAAACTGCAGTCACCATCAGTACGACTTAGTGCAGAATCTCTGTCTGTCATTTGGATTACCCAAGCACAAGCTTTAATTATAATCTGTTTTGTAGGTGTCTCATGCTCTTGGTTGTTTCCCAAAGTGAGTATGCAAGAGGACAGAGTGGAAGTATCTCTGGAGTTGAGCACTCAGCATTGCACCTTCTGTTTCCAATTATACAGCAGCAAACTGCAACACCAAGGTGGGAGCAAGGCTCTCCCACAAGGCTAAAACAGGGAAAGGACAGATGGCTTAGTGAAACAGAGCACAAGCCCCAGTCAGGGCACACGAGCTAGGTGCAAGCCCAGGCCGGGGGCTGCTGTGCGGTGCCAGCTGCGGCACGCCGGTGTGTACGTGTAAACCCTTTCTATCCAGGCGCTCACCTGGGCAGGACAGAGTTGCTGCCCGCCCGCGGCGTGTGTCTGCCCGCGGCCGGGGGAGCCAGCGCCGGGCGGCGGCAGCGTCCCTCCCGCTTCTGGGAGACACCCCCGGATGCGAACAGCGGGAACGAGCCGGGAGGCGGTGGGGTGGGAGAGCGGAGAGAAGAGGGAGGGGAGGGAAGAGGGTTGAGGGAGGAGAAGGGGAGGGGACAGCCAGGAGTCGGGGTGGGGTGCGGGAGGGAGCAGCGGAGATAATAAAGCCGGGGAGAAGGGGCAGAAGGGCGGGGGGAGCCGGGGGGAGCCGGACGCGCGGGGATGGGGCTGGGGGCGTGAGGGCCGGGGGGGCCGTGCCCGGCGGGGCCATGGTGCCCGGGCGGCGGCGGCTGTGAGCGGGCGGCGCCATGGGCTGCGGGGGCAGCCGGGCCGACGCCATCGAGCCCCGCTACTACGAGAGCTGGACGCGGGAGACCGAGTCCACCTGGCTGACCAACACGGACTCCGAGAGCCCGCCGGAGGGCGGCAGCGCCGAGGGCCCCGGCCGGGAGCAGGGCGGCCCGCGCCCCGGTGAGTGCGGGAGCAGAGCGGGAACCGCGGGGAGGGGAACGGCGGCGACACCGTGTGTGTGCACCTAGACACCCTGTGTGTGCACCTACACACCGTGTGTGTGCACCTAGACACCCTGTGTGTGCACCTACACACCGTGTGTGTGCACCTAGACACCCTGTGTGTGCACCTATACATCGTGTGTGTGCACCTATACATCGCGTGTGTGCACCTAGACATCCTGTGTGTGCACGTAGACATCCTGTGTGTGCACGTAGACATCCTGTGTGTGCACCTATACACCATGCGTGTGCACCTACACACGCTGTGTATACACCTAGACACGCAGTGTGTGCACGGACACCCGCTGTATACACACGTCCACACACGGTGTGTGTGCATGGATGGGGATGTACCCGTGTTCCTGCTGTGAGAAGAACGTACTCCGCCACTCAAGCCCCTCCGCCAAGAAATGCAGGCGCCCAAGTCTGCTCTGAAGCCGCGGGGGCTCGGAGCGCCCGGAGCGTCTGCCCTGCCCGGCCAGCCCCGCCGGGAGCGGCCCCGGGACCGGGCAGGGCCAGGAGCGGCCCCGGGACCGGGCAGGGCCGGGAGCGGCCCCGGGACCGGGCAGAGTCGGGACCGGGCGGCGCCGAAAGCGGCACCGCCGCGCTCCGGCCTCGGGGCTACCAGAGCTCTAGAGATCCGCTGGCGGCGCTCGGCTACGAGCGAGGGCGTAGGGATGCCGTCAGCTGTGGAGCTATGTTATTGGAAGGGAAGAGAACTCCATCCTTGATGCTCTTGCTGTGGAATACCTGCCTTTTTCTTTTGCAAGACAAGTAATTTAGGAAATAAATTGAAATTAGGGAAGAGGCAGCTTTCCTCCACACTACCTCTGGTGCCTTCTGATATACAGAAAGTTGACCAGAGGGTGGGTTGCACAAGAGCAGACCTGCCGATTTCCCAGTTCTTGTCAGTATGCTACATCCCAAGTTGTGCACCTGAGCTGTTACAGAAGTGACAGATATGGGAAAGGGATTGAGGAGCTCTGATCTGATAAGCAGTTTGAAATTATTTAAGAATTATTGTGTATTGCAGCAGCATCTAGAAATCTCAGCTTAAGTCCAGAAATTCATTGTGCTAGATATTGTACAAATGGTTGCTGCCCAGAATAATTATAATTTCCCTATAAAGCAGTAAATGCCTATAGGCAGGTTCAGATGAAAAGAAGTAGCTTTACAGACTTTTTGTAGAAAGTAACAAAGCACCAGAAAGAAATTATGAAAGTGTGGGAGTGAAAATTCACAAAGGCGGGCATCACAGGCCAGCTGGAACAGGGAGACCACAACTCTCTGCTAACCAAAATATGATAGGGAGCAGTCACAAAGAGTCTGTGTTGTACTCCTAAAGGCTAAAGAAAGACTCTGTCATAGTCACATGGGAAATGATGAGAATTTGAAGGGGAATGGGTCTATGAAATACCATATTAAAGAAGATTAGATAAGAAATTTAAGGAGGTTCAAGATGATGCTGATCAGTAAGTTCAAATGACAGGTAACAGTGTCATCTCCAGGGAAAACTAAACAGTATTACATTTTTATCCACACTTATCATTATCTTAGCCATGTTTACTTTGAGCTGGTGCCTAAACATCATAAACAGAAGCTAGACAGTCCAAGATCTGACTCTGAATAGGAAGTAATAAAGAGGTAGATCAGTAAGTATTCTTCGTAGAAACATGTGGTAATTGACTTTGTGTTTAGAGATGAGAATACCAGAGATAAGAAGAGAGCAACACTCGAGACCAATGGAAACTGATGAGGGCATGAAAAGCTTTACAAGAAAACCTTGCAGAAGAAATTAGTAGGAAGGTGATGAGGAAAGGACAGAGTAGAAGCAGAAACGATGAGTAGGACTTCAGTTAGGTCAAGATTCACTCTTCAACAGAGCTGTGGTGGCAGCAGTTTAAGGAACCTGAGGAACACACACTGCTCCAAATTAGTGCCCCAAAAGTCATAAAGTACTTCATGGAGAGCTGTTGTATGGTACGGTTTGAGGTAGGGAAGGAATGGGGATAAGGAGAGGTACACCGGTACTAGAAACAGCACTTTAAGTGAATTTACAGATGAAAGGGAGAGGAAAGAGCAATTGGAGGGGCAAATGTGGTCAGATATAAGACATGAAGAGGAATGCATGCCTTTATTGTGAGAACTGAAAACTACCTTAGAGTGAGAGACAAAAAGGAAGGGTAAGGGAGGGGACAAGAGCAGGATGGGAGAGATGGGGAAATGGGAGATGACACCGGCAGAAGGCAAGGTAGGAAGGGGCTGTAACTGGGGCACAGGAAAGGAGGAGGCAGCCAGGGAAGGGGGCACCAGCCAAACGAGGATGGAGAGAGAGGATGAAGTTCTTCTCGTTCATTTTTCATTTGGAATAAATTGGCAAAATTCTGTGAAGAGAGAGATATAGAGATAGGATAAAAGAAATATTTTGGGAAAAGAAAAAAAATTTTAGGGAAAAGACAAAAGCAGTAAGAGTGGTTGTGATTGCAAACATGTCTCAGTTGCAGAAAAAACAACAGATTTGGACATCAAAATGTAAAGAGGAGTCAATTACTCAGAAATGTCGTGTATACAGAATCAGAGAGTGTATCAATGAAGAAAGGGTTAGTAACTACAATTCATTAATCTTAGTAATTTCATACCACCACAAATTTCATCATATGCTTCTCTTTTTTCAGCTAGTACATTCAGCTTTCTGTGCCTGCTCTCATTGGAACGATATGTATTTCTGTAGCCAAATGTTTGTACCTTTATCAAAGCATTTTGAAAGCTTAAATATTATTAAATTAATAGGGAAGTATTGAGGTTTTTATTGGTTGCTATAACATACCTAAAATAAGAGAGGTGGTCTTAGGTTCATGAAAAGTGACTTGGGTCATGAGAAGTCACCAACAGACACAGATATAGGTGGTTGTAATTTTTATAATAATGCATATTATGTAACTTGATAGTATTGCAGCACACTGCTGAGGCTTTGGCAATGAGGAATAGGGCAAGCAGGTGTGGATGAAGAGGGATAGAAAAGTAATAAATTACTTCATGGAGCACTGCAGATGCTGGAATTGAAAGGAATTTTCTGGAAAATAAGAGTACGTACTTTTCATACAATGAGTGGCTTCTTTGAGGGAGAAAAAAAAGGAAAGAATCAGAGTGAGCCCTTACAATAAAGCAATTTCCTGGAAGAACATCATTGCTATGTGAGCAAAGAACTTTTCACAGGACTGAGCTACTGCGTAGGCTATAGCTGGAGGAAATAATAGACTACATTTCTGCTTAGTAACCGTTCCTTGATCCTTGCAACTCTTTGCACAAATTGCTTTCTCTTTAGAGGGTCTGATTCAGCTAAGTGGAAGCGTTAGCAAAGTAATGACTTTCGGAGGAAGAAATAATCTGTGGGTACAGATGAACCCCCAGGGCAGTCACCACAGGTTGCACACAAACCATGGGAAAAAAGTCAAATTCACAAAAAGCACACAAAAATTGTCAAGTATTTTGGAACATGTTTGCACAACCTGTTATATTGTATTGGGATAATGTATGAAATGTATATACCCAAATGTTGAAATGTATATGTATATGTACACATGCCTGTATATGTATATCCTAGAAATTTAAGATGTACAATTTACCACCAGAAACCAGAACTGTAAATGTATTCTATAAACACATTCAATATAAACTAGCAAAAATTAATATTGTTTGTTTAAAAGCAGGTTTAAAGCCATCTTATTTCTACTTCTTTCTATTTTCACTGACTAAGTTAGCTGCTGTATTCGATTATTTTTCCTTTATTATACCTGAAAGTGCTTCAGATTGGATATGGTTTGTTGTCTTGTGGTCAGAGAGACTTTACAATCAATTTACCTCATGGGCTCCAAGTACCTTAGGAAAGGATCTCTCACTACTGTTTTCCCACAGCAACCAGCACAGTAAGGCCCCAGTCTTTAATAGGGATTGTTATTGAAATACAAATAAAAGTAATTAATTTTTAAATTATGTAGCAACCAAGTAAAAAATAATTCTCTCATCTCAGAATGGAAAAGTTGAATACTGATTACCTCAGGACTGACTTCTTCCTCCTCTACTAAATTGTTTGTTGACTTATCATGATGTCACACACAGTATCAGATTAAAAAAAAAAAAAAAAAGCTTTTTGTTCTTTGAACTTTACCATTTTTCCTTAGTGAAGTAATTTTTTTTCCTGAGGCATATTAAAGAAAACATTATCCATGTTTCACAGACTCCCCGATGTACTCAGAAGGAAAACTTGCCCATGGCATCAGCAAAGGTAACTGCAGTAAGTGGTCTGCCAGGAATGAAACCTGCAGTTAGGATCAGTGAAGACATTCGCAAAATAGCTGTGAAATGGGAGGGCAGTCGAGTCCTTTGTAAAATAAATAGAGCAAATCAGAGGAATACAGGAGAAATTTTATCACTATCTAGCAGTGTGGCTGGCTAACAGTTTATCTTGCATAATTGCCCTGGTACGTGTGTTTATGACCGATTCTCGCTCTGCTCTCTGGGGCTGAATGCCTGGCTCATGCTGTTGCTCCGCTGCTTTCTGGTCGCCGACAACTCCAGGACGCTTTATGGACCAGGCTCACCATTTGCAGCCAGGCTTTGCTCCAGCCTCAGGGTGCGAAATGCGGTGTTTCCGAGGCCGCCTTTGCGGGGAGGGTTCGGGCAGCGGGTTTCGGGCAGCGGGTTTCGGGCAGCGGGTTTCGGGCGGGCCGGGCCGGGCCGGGCCGGGCCGGGCGAGCCGCGGTTGCCGCGACAACGGGGCCGGCGGCGCCGGGCCGCGCCTCGCCCGCCTGCTGTGCTCACAGGCATCGACAGCGGGCATCAGGCTGTAAATTAAGAACCCGGCGCAGCAGAGTGTTTTTCATGAATTGGACTGCAGAGAAATATTTAATAAACCATCTGTTTTAGGTCAAGAGGTAAAGATGGATTAGTGAAATACGT